CATCATCATCATCATCATCATCATCATCTTTTTTACGCTAGACCAACCTAAGCGTGAAGCTATGGCGTTCGTCATCCTCCTCCTTCTCCTCCTCGTCCTCATCCTCCTCCTCCTTGTTTCCCCCTCTCATCTTCTTATTATGTCTCCCCCACGTGTTCCTCGAAGGGTTTCCGCAACAGCTGGGGGAACACGTAGTTCGATGGCTTGGCCGAGCTCTGGCCGCAACGTTCGGCCACATAGGCGCTTCCAAAAGGCAGGCGGCGGCAGTGATTAACCGTAGGCGTCTTCGATCCGCCGCTCCCATGTTGCTTACCACACGAATGTACGGCGTGCCAGATGTTAGATAGTTAATTGTTGGTTCAAGCTCCCACAAGATGTAGGCGTTTATTCGTTTTCGACTTTCCGACGGCCCTAGGCGGCCCCAAAGGCCACCCCGATGGCCCCAAGAGCGCCCAAGAGCCAAGAGGCCTCCGAGATGGCTCCGTGACGGCCCCAAAGGCCCCCAAGATGGCTCCAGCAGGCACAGGAGACCTCTGAGACGCCCAAGGTGGCCTCCAGGACAAGCGTCTCAAGAATGCCCAAGGACGGTTCCCGACGGCGTGAGACGAGCCAGGAACACCCTCAGACTGCCAAAGAGCCTCCCAAGGAGCCTCCGAAGGCCCCAAGATGCCCCAGGAAGCCCCCAAGAAGCCTCCCAGAGGCCCTCAGGAAACTCCCAGGAGGCCCCTAGAGCGCCCCAAGAGGCTCACAAGAGGCCTCCTCCTCCTCCTCCTCCTCCTCCTCCTCCTCCTCCTCCTCCTCCTCCTCCTCCTCCGTTTTCCTCACTCTCCTCTGGCTTTACCCCACGTGTTCTCCGAAGGGCTTCCAAAACTGCTGGGATGAACACGTGGTCCGACAGCCGGGCCGGACCCTGGCCACAACTTGCGGCTGCACGGCGTGCCGAATGTTGAGTAGTTGCTGGTTATGTTCCCAAGGGTCTTCGGTCCAACCCGCCGGCAACCCCAAAGGAGGCGCAAGGACCCTCGAAGAGAGAAAAACTTTTTGTTTAACAACAAAAAAAAAGCCTCCACGAGGACCCGTAAACGTCCCATGGCGTCGGCCGGCCCTCTCAAGACGGCCATAATAAGAGGGCCTCTCAGACGGCCAAGATGGTTTCCAAGACAGCTACGATGGCCCCAAGACAGCCTAAGATGATCCCAAGATGCCTCCAAGGCGGGTCGAGATACCCCCAAGATGGGCCATGATGGCCTCAAGATCGCCTGAGACGGCACAAGAGATCTCCAAGACGGCCCTAGAGACCTCCAAAAGGATCAGGAAGGGCCGCAGAGGCCGAAACGGCTTTCCGACGGTCCGAGACGGCCCCAGAGGCCACCAAGACGGCCCAAAGAGCACCCGGGAGGTCTTAGAGATGGCCCCCAGACGGCCCAAGAGGTCCTCGAGATGGCCCCAAGAGGGCCTCAAGATGGCCCAGGAGACCTCCAAGACGCCCAAGGTGGCCTCCAAGACGGCCCTGAAGCGTCCCGAATGGGCCCCAGCTTGGCCGAGAGACGCCGCCAAGACGGCCTCCGACGGCGCCAGGCGGGCTAAGAACGCCCCCAGACGGCCAAAGAGCCTCCAAGGAGCCCAAGGGATCCCTCAGGAAGCTCCCCAGAGGCCCACAGGAGGCTGCCAGGAGGCCCAGAGAGTGCCCCAAGAGGCTCCAAAAAAACCTCCTCCTCCTCCTCCTCCTCCTCCTCCTCCTCCTCCTCCTCCTCCTCATCATCATCATCATCATGATCATCATCATCATCACCACCACCACCACCACCACCACCACCATCATCATCATCATCATCATCATCATCATCATCATCATCATCATCATCATCATGTGTCCTCCCTCTCCTCCTTTTCTTTTTCTTCTTTCTCCCCACGTGTTCCACGAATGGTTTCCGCAACGGCTGAGGGAACACATAGTCCGATAGCTTGGCCAAGCTCTGGCCGAAACGTTCGGCCACATAAGCGCTTCCAAAATGCAAGGGGCGGCGGTGATTCACCGTAGGCATCTTCGTTAAATGATCTGGGAGAACTGTACATCTGAACCCCTGCCTTGTTGGGCAAGGGTGTCGCAGGGCCCCGAAGTAGCCCCGTATCTGTTGCCCTCTTCCACATACTCTGAGGGTTGCTCCAGCCCACCCAGAGCCCCCTCAGCTCGGGGAGACGGTGGGAGGACAGTTCCTGGCAAGGCAGTACGGTGTGTCCGCATGCTGCGCGCGGCACGAGAGGCTCCAGCGCAACAGTGGGGCCAGATGCTCCTGCGCATGGAGCTGGGCTGCTCGCGGACAGGCTGCCCCCCGCGACTTGGACCAGAGGGCTCTCGCGCACACCCCACCAGATGCCGCAGGGACTCGAGCACGCGGGCCGATCCCCGCAGGGCCCTTGGCCTCGAGGAGGGCGCTCGCGCAGCTCTGCCCCCACGGGGGGGAGGAGGAGGAGGAGGAGGAGGAGGGGAGGAGGAGGAGGAGGAGGAGAGAGGAGGAGGAGGAGGAGAGAGGAGGAGGAGGAGGAGGAGGAGGGAGGAGGAGGAGGGAGGAGGAGGAGGACGAGTGAGAGAGTGGGGGCCGGCACCTCCCGAGCGGAGGAGGGAGCTAGCGGGGGAGCCGAAGGAGGAGCGGGCAGGCGCGCCCCCGCGGGGAGGCGCGGGAGGGCGGGGCGGGCACCTCCCAGAGTGCGCCGGCGCAGCCACCCAGCAGCACCCGACGGCTTCAGGGAGCGCACGGATCCCCACGAGAGGCCCAGCGAGCGAGCGAGGAGGAGCGAGGCGGGGGGGGGGGGGGGGGGGCGAGCGAGGCGGAGGCGGGGCAGTCGAAGGAGGAGCGGGCGGGGCCGGGCGCGGGGGGCCGCCGAGGGGCGCCGCGCGGGAGGGGCGAGGGCGAGGACGCAGGGCGCACCGAGGGGAGGGGGCGGGAGCGCGCAGGCCCGGCCCGACCTGCGCCCCCCGCGCGCGGCACGAGGCTCGGGCCCGAGGCCAGGCGCAGCAAGGCACAGCACAGGCGCGTCACGCTCCGAGAGTCCCGGGGGACGCGGGCTGGCCTGGCGGGGCCGTCAAGAGAGCGACGAGACCGGGTCTGAAATCGGGCGCGAGCCCGCGCTGCAAGCATCCCACGAAAACTGGTCCGGGCGGGCTGGTCAAAAAGCGTCGGCAGACCGGCGAAGTCGAGTCTTGCGTCTCCCCCGATCCCTATCCCAACTGGACGTACTCCGTCTGGACTTAGCCTCTCCTGAGGTAGGCGAAACGATACTGAGGCCTCCCGGCCCGCCCGCGACCTCCCGACCCTTCTCGGAGTGCCGCCAGCTGGTGGGCGGAGCTCCGGCGGCACCAGGGTGGGGTGCGCCATCTGCAAGACGAGGCCAGGACGAGGAGAAAATCGGGCGAGGATAAATCGAGGATCTCTCAGATCTGGCGGCTGGGGAGCACGTATCGGGCGCCGCGGCCTTCTCAGAGCGTTCCGGAACGCTCCGAGAGCGTCCCAGAATGCTCTGGAACGGATTTATCCTCGGAGGAGGAAAGGGAGGAGGAGGAGGAGGAGGAGGAGGAGGAGGAGGAGGAGGGGAAGGAGGAGGAGGAAGGAGGAGGAGGAGGAGGAGAAGGAGGAGGAGGATCGAGGAGGATGATGATGATGAGGAGGAGGAGGAGGAGGAAGATCGAGGAGGATGAGGAGGAGGAGGAGGAAGATCGAGGAGGAGGAGGAGGAGGAGAAGGAGGATGAGGAGGAGGAGGAGTCCTGGCCCCGTCCGAATCCGGGCCCTCGTCGCGCCGCGCCCCTGGCGCGCGAGGGGCCGCCGCGGCCGGCTCGAGCCTGGGCTCGGCAGCGCCGGGAGGCCCCGCGCGTGCTTCCGCGGCCGTGCCTCGGCCGCCAATCGAGGCACGGCTCGGCGGAGGAGGAGGAGGAGGAGGAGGGGGAGGGAGGAGGAGGGGGAGGAGGAGGAGGAGGAGGAGGAGAGAGGAGGAGGAGGAGGAGGAGGGAGGAGGAGGAGGAGGAGGAGGAGGAGGTAGGAGGAGGAGGAGGAGGAGGAGGAGGAGGGGGAGGAGGAGGAGGAGGAGGAGGAGGAGGAGGAGGAGGAGACGATGACGACGAGGGTTTACCAGACGTCCTCAGGATGGTCGTCGAGAGGCGGCAGTTCTCCTAGCGAGCGTGTTCTTGTCCTCGTGCCAGGTTTCAACTATAGAGGGCAGTCCCGATCGTCGCCGATCGGGGCCCTGCCTCGGTCGACGCCTGGCGCGGCCTGCGGTCGACGCTTCGCTGCGCCAAGTCGGGGGCGCGCACGCATGGACTTTAGCGGTCCGTGGAGCTGGAGCGCGGTCGCCAAATCCATGGATCGGGGGAGGTGCCCTCCCCAGAATGCGGGCCGGTGCCGCCTCGTGCGGCGGCGGAAATCCGCGATTTCCCGTGGAAGCGGGACCCGTCGCTAATCCACGCCCCCTTGATCCGTGTTTGCGATCGCCTGGCTAAGCCATGCGCCGAAGCTGGACAAAAAAAAAACAAACGACACCACCCAACCTACGGCCCCACGGGCCCCAGAACATGCCATGAATTGCGGCTTGGGCTCTCGCGTGCTATACGCTGCGGCGCCCGATGGGCCGTAGCGTAACGTGGAGGGCCATAGGTGGGGTGGTGTCGCTTGATTTTCGGTCGAGAGGCGCGTGGGCGAAAACAGAAAAAGAAATAGGCCGCCAAGGACATGAACCGTAGGCAAATCATGCTACAGGATGCTGATGGCAATCACGTTCACCATCGTGGCTTGCAGTGTGCTCAGCAGTGCTTCTCCACTCGATGGGGTCCTGCAGGCGCTGTAGGTCCGCGGTCTGGAGCCCATTTTTTCACTATCCGCGACAACGCCCGTGGCCGGCCCCGGCCACCCGACTCCACCCGCCCCCCCGCCCCGGGTCACGTCGCGATTCGCGCCAGCGCCCTCTGGGAATGCGCAGAGCTCGAGCACTCCCAGCTAATTACAGGGCCGGCGCGGACCGTGCCGTGGTCACGCCCGTCGTCGCCGGGGGACGAGGGGAGCGATCCCCCGTGGCGAGCCCCTGCTTCGAGCGAGCCCCTGCCTCGATCGGGTCGAGGCAGCTGCTCGCCGCAGGCCCGCGCGCTCGCCGGGGGGGCTCCAGGACCCCGTGCGGGGCCGAGCGGGCAGGCCCAGAGGCACTGCGGCGGGGAGGGGGCGAGCGTCGTGGAGCCGGTCCCCATCCCCAGCGGCGTGGCCTGGGCCCCACTGGCCGATTCACCCCCCTGGGTGGGGATAGAGGCCGTTCCCTGCGGGTTTCGAGGGGTGTGATCCCGACTCGAAGGGGATGAGGATGGGGACGGGGGTCGGTGAAACGGTACTGAACCCCAGCGACCGAAGCACTGCCAGGTGAGGAAGCAAGGCGACGACGAGGGCAGAGCGTGTCTGGCTCGACGCCTTCGTGCCAGCGGGGGCCCAGGAGGCCGACAACAGCTCGCATGCTGGGGTGGCATCCGTGTCGGTCTAGTCGCACGCCTCCGGTCAGCCCACGTCGTGCCAGTGAACGCGTCTGAGGCTCCAACGAACAGACCATGCAATGTGCACTTTCTCTGTGGACGCCACCAGGGCAAGGCAGAATGCGGCGGTACCAAGCAGCCGACGATCTGCCTTCCCGTCTCGCCCGAGCAGCGGTAATGGCATTGCCCCCGCCCCCCGAGCAAATGTGCCAGCGCTCTCACTGGTCCTCCGCTTGACGCGCGTGACTATGGCCACCTATCTACGCAGTGTGCAACTGCCCGCTGTGGGGCCTATCAAAGCTGCGGTATGTAAAATGCGCGAGACGAGAACGAAAGACGAGCTTGAGTGTGAGTTTGATAAGCGCCTTGAAGAGGGAACAGAGAATGCGCATCCATATTGGCGATGAATGCCTTACACGGTTGCTGCGTGGTCTTTTGCATGTACTGCGCCAGACAACTGTTCGATGCAATCGTATGCCCGAGAACCTCGATGTCGGCCACCACCTTCCAATCTGCGTCAAGCTGCCCCTCTCCAACATCCACGCATTCCTTGCAACGGCTTGGACGTCAGATGGAACACGGGGCCCCCCACACTGCCGAGGCCCGAAACTTCCGACGAGGCTTGAGCTGGGAACCCCGCCTCCGGCGCACCAACTCGAGCTTCGGCGGTCCCACGTCTGCATCCCATACGCTGGGCGGTGCGGGAGCACCAGGGACTTGGCTGCGCAGTACCACGAGCCGTGCCCCAAACATGTGTATGCTTTACCCTGCACTTCGGCCGTCGCCCTGCATCACACGTCGCTTACTCGCCTCCCAGACAGCACCTTGAGGGATTCCATTCTTTCACGCTTCCCGAACCGATGTGAGGGGCCCCAAGAGCCTCTTTGAGGAAGCTCCCCAGGACCGCGTCCAGGGCCATCCCTGCAGCTTGATCCCAGGCAGCGAGCTGCGCGAGTGAGTTCCTCCACGCCCCCCCTTCCGCATCTGATCCACCCCTTCTCACGCTCAATATTGGGGGCCTGGAAATTGGCACCCACTCCAACGCAGGGCATCCACGGGGAGAAGATAAACCTGGATTTTGGTGCCGATAATAATCCCACCAACCGTTCGGGGTGTCGGTGGTTTAGAACGCTTCCTCTTCAAACCCCTTCTTCTCCTTCAGGGAGGGGCTTATCCTTGTTCCCTATTAATGAACACCCCCTCCCCCAGGAGACCGGCAGCCAACCCGGACCAATGAGCCCCCCCCTTCACCGTCACTTGTGAAAAACACTAGAAAAATACACTTTGCCTCGAAATCTGGCGCATGCGCGGGCGCCCCGCGACCACTTGGCATTGTTGTTTGACAGGGGCGGCGGGGATGCTGGCATATTGCTTGCTGCGAGCAGGAGGGCGCGGCGTCTGAATAAATTGCAAGAAGTCCAGGACCACCATCCGTCTAAAAACAATACAAAATTACAATATTGCTCCAAGTATGGAGCATGTTCAGGGCCCTCTTTCCTCAGAGCTCTCATCTATTTTACCTCTCAAGATGTCACAATGTGTCCGTCGGTGCCAGTGCTTTGCGCTCCCTGGAGGAGCCGCCCTTCTAACAGAATGCTCGGCACTTCGCTTCAGGGGGATTCAAGATCCTGAACTCCTTGGGGCCAGGGCCCCAGGCACCTGGGGTCCCGATTGGTTCCCCGAGTCGTTGGAGCGTACAAGATGACATCGGCGAGAAGGCACAAATCATAGATTTCAAATAGGTTTTGGACCCATATTGGCCTCCCGAGGGGAGTGGGGGGGGGGCCAATTGAGGCCCACCCTTTCTTTGATCGATCTCACCCCCCCCAAGATGGCCCCAAGATGGCCCCCGAGGCTCCCAAGAGTGCCCCAAGAGGCGCCCAGGAGGCCCCAAGAGGCCACCAAGGGGTCCCCAAGAGACTCCCAAGAGACCCCCAAGAGACCCCCAAGAGGCCCCAAGAGGCCCCAAGAGGCTCTCCCGAAAAACCCACGACGC